TCCTGCTATCTGAGTTTCGTGTAAAGAGCTCCGAGCCAACAAAAGGCCTGACATTTACAAATAGAATAACATTAGTATCTAGCTTTCTATAACGACGTAAAGTAGTAAAATATACGTAAAGTATGCTTAGATTTCATAACGGGAAGAAATATCTAATAAAAGATGGGTCAATCAGAACTATTCACAGTCAGCACTGGGAAAGTACCTTATGCAGAAGAAGTACTTTGGAGAGCCAAAAGGAATACAAATCCATTTCACAACTGCCTCGGAAAGGAGATGATGATGTTCCCTAGTAATTTCAGACATAATCTCCTTATCATGAACTGCATTTACCTGTTCCCGTAAGCTAGAAATGCCTGAAATGACATCTCTGCAAATAGAGAGCAGACCCTTCACTTTGCCACAGACTCTCAATGTCTGGTTCCTAGGTTGCAGGTGGAAACAGTTCTTCGATGGTTCATTAACCTTAACGAGAAGGGTGAGGTTTTTGCTGATTTCAGGATCAACCTGCCACAAACGCCCAGCTAAATCTTGAATGAGCCTCGAGCATAAACTGCTTCGTGAAGTGCAAGGAGCCAAAGTTTCATGAAGAGGCAATTCTCGAATGAAAAGAGCAAACCCAACAGCAAAAGCCAGGACTGAGCAGCTCAGTGCAACTTCAGCAATGATGTTAGAACTGCCATGATCTATGTCAATGAAACATGTGGCCATAGTATCATATTCCTTGGCCAATGTTTGCAGCCGAATGGAAATTTGGGTAAACTGGTTGAGAATATTGCAACCAACCAATGTCCTAGTCTCTGCTTGCTTCTTGCCACTGTTGATGTCCTGATTGAAGAGGTCTAGGAGTTTAAAGTAATCAAGCACAGTACCCAGGACTCGATTCTTAAGAACCATAAACCATTTTTGGAAACAGAATACTTCAATTGATGCTACATTGCTCTCCAATGCTTCCAGAGAAGAGGCTAAATGCTTGTACGCTTCATGAAGAACAACGCTATGGTCAGATTTTCCAGATGTATCTAGGGAAAATTCCGGTAGACAATCATTCGAACCCAACCAATTGACTAACCTGGAATTACCAACTGGTGAGGAGAGCAATTGGATTTTCCCCTCAGCATAAGCAAAATAAGTTAATGACTTTAACCAGACACTGTAAATATCAGACTGAACTTTGGTTCTCAGCTGCGCAAAAATAAAAGCTGATGTGACCCATGCACCTAAACGAGCTGCATGTATCCCAGCTCTATAAACTGGCCAGTAATCTCCCTCCGTAAATATCTGATTTGAACATTCAAGAGTAAAGATTCCATATTCACACGAGCCAGGAACAAGCAAGATGTCTGAATTTCCGTCCACATCACATTTTGTCTTCGTCTCATTCACAAGCCAACCCCAAACCACTTGAGAATGTAATAGAAGAGAGTAGACCATTTGCGTATATCTATCAAGGAAGCTGCATGAACATACAAACTCAACAATATGCTTCACTTTTTCATACGTTTGAGATGAGATTGCATCAGCTACCTCAAGATCCTCAAGGAAAGCAACCAAGAACTTATGTATGCAGGCTAGAAGCTCTGACCTTACCACTGTTCCCCTTTTGCCTTTATAATTAACAATGCCAAGAACTAGTGGAGCAGCACCATCTATTTTCATTGAGCTATCAACCAGGCCCCTGACATATTCTAGAAGGAAGATGATCTTATCCAGAACCGGAGGTCCCATTTCAGAATGTTTTCCAACTAATCGGAGGCGATTGAAGAGGTTTTGAACCTCGCCAACTAGAGCACAATCAACCTGAAAAGGATTAGCACATGATCGACACAGCAAAGTAAGCTTACCAGTAATTAATTCAATGACCAGCAATGGCAGAGATGTTGAAGGAACCCCAAGTGATCTCTTTTCTGCAGTCTGAACTATTCCGTTTACTAAATCTGCCAGAATACTGATAGCTGAATAGCTGCTGGACATGATTGGAGAATGGGATGCATTCTCGACGATTATTATCAACTGAGAAAAATCAGATGCATCAGCTGTACATAGTTTGTATGCAAGTATCTGCATTTTGCATAAAACATAAGTCAGAATCTTCGACTCGAGATAATAAAACAAAAAACAATTCTCTGAGCCTCCTAATCACCTTATGCAAAATCTGAAGAGCTTGAATCAGCATATCTGGCGAGAGTTCAGCTTTGTTAAGTAAGCTGGATAACATTTCAATTGTACTTGCATGGACAAGAGAGAAGCACATCCCTCTTTCTACGAGAAAATGGAGACACCTCAGTGAAACAGCTCGTATACGAGGTGTCTTATCTTCATCCAGAAACGGCATCACAGTTTCTCTCTGCACCCATACCACGATGTAATTAGATTTTTGTCTTCCTTTAAAAGGAAAAATAATCAAAAGTGGGCCAGTTTCTATTTCTAGAGATTCATCCAAGAGAGCTACGATATCTCCTCCCTCCTTAAATGACCACTAAACTCAGACTCTCGAGAAAAGAGTGGCAAAGACCTAATAGAATTAGCAGAAGACTCAAAGTACCTCAGGTGATCTAGGCATCACTGCAAAGTTTTAGCTTTCTATTGCTAGTAAACAACAACATCACTGCGAAGTTTTAGCTTTCAAAGGTCACCATATAAATTTCGCAATTAGAAGATAAAGCTTCTGGTTCACTGAGACATGTCTTAGCCAGAATCTACACAAAAAACTAAAATGGAAGATACCAGTTCAGAAGCTAGATTAGTAGATTTTGCAGCTAGCTTAGTCAGGGAAACCAGAAATGCAACCACATTGTCCTCTTCAGAGGTATCCAGCATTAGCTTTAGTCCTTTCTGCAAAAAAAAAAAAAAAGTAATGGAACACCAATGTTAAACACCGGTGGCTACTATCATTTTTTGTGGATGCATTTGCGGTGAAATTTCAAGATGGAAACAACATGAGAATGATATTTCATTTTGAGCAAAGAGTTGTTCTGTAACAGCAGATTTAGTTCAAGACACACTTCATATTAAAAATTAAAGATCATTGCAAATGGAATGGGAATAGACAAAGAACCTTGAATGCTCTATTAGCAATTGCATGTGAGCATCCCATTTTTGCAAAAACTCGCACAGCAGCTAACCTGGTCATTGGCGCTAATTCTGGGAATGTCACCATGTCAACTAACATCCCAAGAACAACCAATGCAAAGTCATCTGCTACTTCACTAAAGCATGCTGCTGCAAAAAGAGATGATCTCACCTGCAAGTACAAAACAACAGAAAATAGCTCCAGTTTACAAAAAGCGTATCCCCTTACAAATGTCTATCAATCACGCTAAATGGGGATGGTAGATTGATAAAGGAGATATAACGAAAAAGAAACAACAACCGATAAGTTAAGATGTTACTGGATGAAGTAGCCATCAAAAGAAAGCCAAAGATCTCAGCTCACCTCAAGATCATGCGAGGAAACCATACTGGTGAATATCAAGTAACGTATCGGAGCATAATCACTGGCAAAATCTCTCCAACACCCGAAGAGAATTAAGGCCATAGCCCTCCCATCAATATCACCATTTTCATAAACATCCTTCACCCTCTTCAGCAATTCCAAGTGGTTTTCCACCCTGGCCTTTGCTAAAAACCCTCTAGCCCATTCACTCCTTTTCTTCCTCCTGCTTTGCTTGAACATCGACATAAAAACCCGGACAACAGTCAGCCTAACAAGCTTATCTCCAGAACAAAAAGCATCAACTAGCCTCAACAGGATAGTATTTGCAAAGAGCCTATCCTCTTCAGGAACAAGACCAAACATATTGTAAACCGCTGTTGAAGGTTCTCGTTCTCTTCTCCATTGTTCAAGATTTCCACCGGTCTCCATTATGACTTCAGCAGCTCTAGCTGAAATAACAAAAAAGAACAAAATTTTACGACTAATAGGAAGGTGAAAATACGACAAGGAATGGAGATCCGAGATTCTAAAAATAAAGGCAACACCTTTGCCATTGTTTCCGACAGCTGGAGCCGTCAGAAATTTGAAAACCAGAAACAATGTCATAAAAATACAGAAGACAATTAACTGAACTAACATCAAGGCAAGGTACGAGATTCAAAAAGAGAGATTTTTTGTCTGTACACAAAAAAACCGAACCCCATATCAAATTCCGAAAACTTAGCAGAAAAGCCCGGGGAAAGAATCCAGAATATCAACATTCAAGTATCGTGTAATTGGCTAAAGGGCGGGAATAAGGGTTTAAGAACCTGGGTTTTTTGAGCGAAGAGCTTTCTCGAGCTTGATGCTCCAATCCATGGCGCAAGCTGCTGAAACCTTTTCCATGGTTGGTTACTCCGCTCGGAATTCTTGCAGAATTTGCGATATTTCTAGGGTTACCGAAGGAGAAAACGAAAACAGATACTCTAACGGATGAATCAATCTAAGGGAGATAACAAGGATTCACACTGTACTTTGAACAAGGGATTCTCATCAGCATCTTGTGTGCGAGAGAAGGTAATACAGATTCTGCGAAGCAGAATATCGCTAACACCCTTCTTCTGAACCCGCGAGGGAGAAGAAGATGAAAACGCAATGCAACGTTACATAGCATAGCGTACACCGACCCGCATCAGATCCGACCCGGATCCGATATATATGATGGGCTCAAAATAAAAACGAATTTTTACATGGGCCAAGCCCATAACTATTTTTTTAAGCAAAATTCAACACAGGCTTCGCCATGGTCGTTTTAGCCCACTTTTACATTATTATTATTATTATTATTATTATTATTATTTCTATGTCTTAACAATTTCAGTTATTTTACAATAATATCATCAGATTTTTGCACATTATGGGCATAGATTAAATCTGATTTAAATGAATATATATTGGATTTATCAATAATCTTTTTGTATTTTTTTTAATGGCGAAGTAGAAAGAAAATGTACCGCTCTGATTGAATCTAGAATTTGGGAATTAATTTTAAAATGGGAAAATTGAAATTGAGAAAAGCTAAAAAGGCAGCGGAAAAAAACCTGAAACCGGGTTTCGGGGTATCATCCAATACAGCGGGTGATTCCATATTCCCAATCCAAGACGGTTTCTATTTTGTTATTTATTTTCAATTTTTTTTACGTCTGGTCTGGAATTTCGAAAATAAATAATTCATTAATTAACCTGTGATTAAGTAAGTAATTAATCATTAATCCCATCGGTCATCTTCCTGTGAGCGCTTACACGTGCGGACACGGAAATATTCGTGTGTGTTTGCTGCGCTCCAGTTTTGGTGTGGCGTTCAAGGTGAGGGGAAAACCCAGAACAAGGAGAAGAAGAAGTGACAGGAAAACGATGGCGGTTGCTTCCATGTAATTCCAGATTCTCCCCATTTTCAGCTTCTGGGTATTTCGACTCTCTCTCTCTCTCTTTATGGGTTTTCATATGTTTCAGAGCTTTGATCCGTTTCGTGGAAATCTTATAGTTCAGTGGCCTTACGTTTGAAAATTCTGTCGCTGGAAACTGTATTTACGTGGATGCGATCCCTTATCGCAATTGTCCCTTCTCTTGAGTTCGTATGTTTTCTTTGTGTTTTGTACTTTTTTGTGGGTGGGTTTAACATCATCTTCCATCTGGCTAGTTTGCACTGTTGAACCAAAAACCTGAATTTTGATCAGATTTCTTGTGTTCATTTACCTTTCTGGACTAGTTTCTCGTGTAGTATCAGAAGGAAGATTTGTACTTGTACAGTTGTACTGAAAAATTTAAGCTCTCGGGGATTGATCACGACCCACCGTGCTTGGATTCTCATCCATAACTAAGTTCAAGAAACTATTTTGAATTCGATTATGAATCAGCCTGTCAATGGTGTCAAATGACTAAGTCAAATCGGTCTTTCGAGCTATCACTGGATTTCTACCTATATTTTGAGTCACTGGTGATTGTTATTGTTTCTTGTTGTTCGATACGGGCAAGTGATCCTGAGCTAGATGGTAAGATTGGTATCACCTACCAGACATACCTGTATTGGCAGACATGTTTGTTTTCAAGTACTGATCCAGACACCGAATGGGGATTCTTGTTCTTCTCTAAAGTATCTTGAGAAGGAAGGGGTGTTTGGAAATGCAACAAAGTTTTCGATTTTTGTTCTCCCTTTTCGTGATTCCTAGAAAATTCTGTAGGTGGATTGCGTGCGCTTTTAGGGTCATGGATGTGGCATTTTGAAGTATAAACTCTCATTATTCGGAAATAGAAAGGGCAAAAGTAATACTGATTAGATGCTATTAATGTGGCTTTTGTTCTTTGATTCCCTGATTCGATTAGTTTCATGAGTATCTAATGGCTGATCTTCTCCTCGAACATGTAAGCCGCAGTTTGTTAACTTCATTTTTCTGCATTCTTAGTTCCCTGGTAGCACATAATCTAATCGGGCTTAGGCATTGATCTGGCACATGTACTTGCTGCACGCTGTGCAAATCATGTTGTTTTATCCTCAAGGCCTAGTCAGTTGGTAACTTTGTATATAAAAATTGTGCAGGTTTTAGTTTCTGATGCCTCATTGAAGCCCTGCATTGAAATTTTGGACAAAAAGTCAAATTCATTGGAGCTACACATTGAACAAAAATTCCTTTGAGACATTACTGTCGAATTTTCAAGCTCGGTGCCATAATCTACCCGATGTCCCTTCTGTCAAAGTTGAGATGCGTCACAGTGGATGTTACCGGCACTCTCATAGCATACAAAGGGGAGCTTGGTGATTACTACTGCATGGCTGCCAAAGCTGTTGGCTTGCCTTGCCCTGACTACAAAAGAGTCCATGAAGGCTTTAAACTGGCTTACACAGAGATGGCCCAGACCTATCCTTGTTTTGGGTTTGCAGAAAAAATGCCCAACATTGTGTGGTGGAAGACGTGCGTGAGAGATTCGTTCGTGAAGGTAAGACAGACATTCCTCAGGCATGTTTCCTCGCTTCTGTCCTGTAGAATCGTCTAGTTATATTCTCTTTGAATGCCTTATTCACCTGTAATGTCTTGGTCCTTTCTTTTATCGATGTAACAGGCAGGATACGACTATGATGAGGAGACGTTCGAGAAGATATTCAGGCGCATATACGCATCTTTTGGTTCGGCTGCACCTTATGTCGTGTTTCAGGACTCTCAGCCATTTCTAAGATGGGCACGTGAGAAGGGGCTTAAAGTAGGGCTTGTTAGTAATGCAGAATACCGGTATAAAGACGTTATTCTGCCTGCCTTGGGTTTGAACCAGGTAATGTGGCTTAAAGTAGGGTTTATTATACTGTTGGTCCCCTGATTGATGTATAATCCATTGGCTGACAGTACTAGCTCTAGACTTTGCATGGCAAAATTGAGCTGAATTTGAAATTCCATAGAATTTTCAGTTCTCATGAGAGGATTGAAGAATCTTTCGAGTTTCTTTTAAGACATAGGCAAAATTTTCTGACATTCACTGAACACTACTACTCCATGGTCCAGGGAACTGAATGGGACTTTGGTGTGTTCTCGGGTCTGGAAGGCGTCGAGAAACCGGACCCAAGAATCTACCAGATAGCCCTCGAGAGGGCAGGGGACGTCGCTCCGGACGAGGTTCTGCACATCGGAGACAGCATGAGGGAAGACTATGCCCCTGCAAAGAGCATAGGCATGCATGCATTGCTGCTTGATAGGTTCAAGACAGCTGCGGCTAAGGACTGGAGGGAAGACGGAGCCACTGTTCTTCCGGACTTGGCTGCTGTCCGAGAACTGCTCCAGTCTGACAAGTTGAACTTGTGAGACATTGTCTCTCTATGTTGTTCCATATGTGCATCTGGTTCTTGATGAATCAATGATTTTCTGTACTCTTGTCTTGTTGCTAAAAAATTTACAGTAACAGGGTATTTTTGTCCTTAGCTCATATAGATGAATCAAAGGAAAAATCCACTTTTTTTTTTCTCTTCTTTATCAAATTCGTCTCCTGTGAGAAGCTCTGGGCCATCAAATATGGATGCTTCGTAACACTTGTTAAGGTGCGTGCGTTCCTTCTTCTTCATCACCATTGTAGATAAAACAGTTTCGGGCCAAAGTTGTATGAACAAACACTGTCTAGACTCCATAGATGTTCTCTTCCTGCCTTCAACTTCTCTCTCCTCTCTCTTTCCCCTTCCCTTGTCAACCTCTTTCCTTTTCCCGCCAAAACCCCCCTTCTCTTCTTCCACCCGCCGTTCATTCCGCCGCTGCGGTCGCCGTCGATGTCTCACTGTCGAAACCCAATTCGCTATCACGGTCGCCGGAGTCGTGGATCGAGTCACTCCGGTGGAAAGTTCGATCCAACCTACTCCGTGAAGCCATCTCGACCTACATCGACATGATTGTTTCGGGCGTATCACCTGATAATTTCGCTTTCCCTGCTGTGCTAAAGGCTGTTGCGGATCTTCAAGACTTGAATTTGGGGAGACAGGTTCATGCCCATGTTTTCAAGTTCGGGTATGGGTTGAGTTCCGTCACTGTGGCTAACACCCTCGTGAATTTCTACGGCAAGTGCGGAGATTTAGGGGGTGCCTACAAGGTGTTCGACAAAATATCCGATAGAGACCAGGTATCATGGAATTCATACATCTCTTCTTTGTGTAAGTTCGAGCAGTGGGACATGGCGTTAGAGGCATTTCGGTCTATGTTGGATGATAACACTGAGCCTAGTTCCTTTACTTTGGTGAGCATCGCACTCGCTTGCTCGAATTTGCATCAGCTCGAGGGCGGCTTGAAGCTCGGACAACAGATCCATGCCTATAGTTTGAGAACGGGGAACTTGAACACGTTTATCATCAACTCTCTGATGGCCATGTACGGTAAACTGGGAAAGTTGGAACATTCTGAGATCTTACTGGGAATGTTCGAAGGCCGTGACTTGGTCACATGGAACACAATGCTGAGTTCTTTCTGCCAGAACGAGCAGTTTCTGGAAGCGTTGAAGCATTTGCGAGAAATGGTGCAACAAGGAGCAAAACCAGATGGGTTCACCATAGCAAGTGTTCTCCCTGCTTGCTCGCATTTGGAGATGCTAAGCACAGGGAAAGAAATGCATGCCTATGCTTTGAAGAATGGCATTCTGACCGAGAATTCTTTCGTGGGAAGTGCTTTGGTCGATATGTATTGCAACTGTAAGCAGGTGGAGAGTGGCCGCCGAGTTTTTGATGGAATCTTTGATAGAAAGTTAGGTCTTTGGAATGCTATGATCACTGGGTATGCCCAGAACGATCATGACGAGGAAGCATTGATGCTGTTCATTGAAATGGAGGAGACATCTGGGCTTCTGGCTAATACAACTACAATGGCGGGTGTTGTCCCTGCTTGTGCTCGTTCTGATGCCTTCTCCAGAAAGGAAGATTTCCATGGATTTGTCATAAAACGAGGTCTGGCTAGAGATAAGTTTGTGCAGAATGCACTGATGGATATGTATTCCAGGTTGGGAAAGACCGACACCTCCGAGATGATATTTGATAGTATGGAAGATCGAGATGTAGTTTCATGGAACACGATGATCACGGGTTATGTCATCTCAGATCACCATGAGGCCGCTCTCCTTCTGCTGCGTAAGATGCAAAACCCTGAAGAAACAGAAATAAACGTACGAGAAAAAACAAGCCGGACTGGTTTGAAACCTAATTCCATCACTCTGATGACAATCCTACCCGGCTGCGCTGCTCTATCAGCATTAGCAAAGGGGAAAGAAATCCATGCTTATGCCATCAAGAACATGTTGGCAACTGATATCGCTGTAGGAAGCGCATTAGTTGACATGTACGCGAAATGTGGCTGCCTGGACCTGTCAAGAAAAGTGTTTGATCAGATGCCAGTCAGAAATGTGATAACCTGGAATGTGATCATAATGGCTTATGGGATGCATGGAAATGGAAGGGAAGCCTTAGACCTGTTCAGGAAAATGGTTCCGGAAGTAAAACCAAACGAAATTACATTCATCTCTGTATTTGCAGCTTGTAGCCACTCGGGCATGGTGGATGAAGGATTAAGGATATTCCGCAACATGAAAAACGAATATGGGGTTGAACCTAGCTCAGACCATTATGCTTGTGTTGTAGACTTGCTCGGGAGAGCTGGCAGAGTCCAGGAAGCTTATCAGCTCATGAACACGATGCCTCGTGACTTTGACAGAGCTGATGCTTGGAGTAGCCTGCTTGGAGCTTGTCGGATCCACAAGAACATAGAAATAGGAGAAATTGCTGCAGGGAATCTCCTTCGGCTGGAGCCTGATGTGGCTAGTCACTATGTCCTCCTTGCCAATATTTATTCATCAGCAGGTCTCTGGGACAAGGCAACGGAGATTAGGAGAAAGATGAAAGAACAAGGTGTGAGGAAAGAACCTGGCTGCAGCTGGATTGAGTGTGGGGATGAAGTACATAAGTTTATAGCCGGAGAATCATCGCACCCACAAAGCGAAAAGCTCCATGGATTCCTCGAGAACCTGTGGAAGAAACTGAGAAATGAAGGATATGTACCCGACACATCATGTGTGCTTCACAATGTGGAAGAGGATGAAAAAGAAGTTCTGCTGTGTGGGCATAGCGAGAAACTGGCAATTGCATTCGGCATCCTTAACACACCTCCTGGAACCACCATTAGGGTTGCCAAGAACCTCAGGGTCTGCAATGACTGCCATCTTGCCACAAAGTTCATCTCGAAAATGGTCAATAGGGAAATCATCCTGAGAGATGTGAGGAGGTTCCATCACTTCAAAGATGGAACTTGCTCCTGTGGAGACTATTGGTGAGATGAGGGTAGAGTTTGTAATTGTAATGGTTACTGCCTTTCTTAAACTGCATCTCTCTTGTAACACAATATATATATATATATATACAGTATTGATTATTATTTTTTCATTCGAGTACACTCATTTGTAATGGAAAGAAAGCAGCATACTTTAAAGAATCATGGTCCTTAAACTTCCTTATTCTCAAATTATAATAACGAAAACAAGAGGAAAAATAGATGAGGAAGTCATCTAGATAAGGGCCAAGTTGAAGCAAACAACTTTTTTTTTTTCTGAGTAGGACATGGGAACAACTCAGAGAAAGTTCAAAACATAATGCAGAAACCATGCTAGTTCTGTCTGGTAACCGGAAATATACCAATGCAAGTGAAGAGATGTCTTTAACAAATTTACTTCTACTTGTTACGCTTAGCAGCACGTCTTCCTTGACCCTTCTTGGGAGGTCCCTTCCCACGACGCTTCAACATCTCAAGCTTCGATAAACGCCTTCCATTACACAATATTTAAAAAAACACACACATGAAATCAGAGAAAGCAGCCTATGAATTCAGCTTAGCAAAAGCAGCAGACTTTCACTAAATGAAACTGATGCACAAGGAGAGCATTCACCTAAACCTTAAACTACCCTTTCTTCAAGGAAAGAAAAAATAAATGATCTTACTTGACATACCGAATTCTCTCCAAGGGCCCCGGAAAAGGAAATAAGAACCACATCTATCATGTTTTCTCTCTCGAGTAAACAGACCACTCCCTCTTCCAAAGTTTCTTTCCAGCATTTTCTCATAAAAAAACATTACCAACAAGTACTAAACTCTGCATCATAAGCTTCACAAAAACTCTATGCTCCAAAGTTTGAGCTTCATCTAACTGCCTTAGGCGATAAAATAAGCAGGGCAATGAACGCGAATGTGAACTACAGGAGAACAAAAAAGAAGGGATTAGGAGGTATTACTCTTGTTCTTGTTTAGCCATAATTTCAGGAAAATCTTGCTTGATGTCATATGGATACCATTCAGCAACCTTCTTACCGATGAGCTTCTTCCGCAATAACTTATGGGGAGACCGCTCCCCCGTCGGGTTAAGCATATGCCCGAAAATCCTTGCCCTTGCCTCAGTCACCCCTTGTGTCACTGCTGCAGATATCATTCTCTTCAGGCTTCCGCTAGCCATTTGCCCTTGAACTACAGATGGTATAAGCCACCAAAAAAAAAAAAACTGGTCAGAAGATTAACAAAACTAACAAGTACAAAATGCATCTAAAAGCAGAGCTCGGGTTTGTTTTCAAAGAAAATTATAAACTTTCTCAATCACAGCAATGCTGCGAGTCGCACAGTATATAACACGGAAGGAACTTTCGAACTTGGGCTTCAGCAATACGACCGAGTGTATATAAGAATGAGCCAAAACAATTAAGTATCAAGCGAATTTAGCATCATTAGACTTCGCAAACTATACGACAGAACTCCATAACTGGATTTCTCGTATCCTTCCCAGCACATCGCTACGCCGTTATCTCTTCCATGCCGAAATCCAATTGCCCAGATCAATTATTTCAGGGAAAGATGAACCGAGAAGGAAAAAACTCTTAAAAAACCCTACATCACTCGTTACTGAATCAAAACCAAAAGGCACCTCTGCCCTATTCGCCGCCGTCTTCTCCTCCGATAGCCGTCGTCCCTCCTGTCTGTGTCTTCTTTTGCAAAACAGTCGCGAGCTCCCGAGAATGAAGAAGAAGAGTGTTTTCTTAACAAACCCTAAACCTAAACCGAAGTCCGGTTCTAATGAACCAAACCGAACCGTCCGGTTCATTAAACAACGAACCGAATCACGACTCTCCGAAGAGATCAAATCTGGGACAAACACGAAGGCCAATAAAGGAAAATGAAGGCCTCCAACGTTAATTGTCGTGGCCCATTCTATGTCCGGCCATGTGGGCCTTTTCATGGTAAATAAATGTGACCATGTATATAACCTTTATAAATACTTACAAAACAAAAAATCACATAAATAATTTCTTTTTTAATAAGGCCAATTCATCCGTTCATTTGATATTTTTTCTTCCAGAATTTTGGTTTTTTATTATTGATTTTTTTAAAAAAATTGCGACTAATTTATGAACTTATGGTTATAGTAAACATTGTGCCATTGTATTAATTAGACTATAATAGAAACAAAAATATGTAAATTACCAAAAACACAAAAAATACGTAAAAAAAAGAAAAATAAAGGAAAAATCATGAGCACTCGAGACATTTCGACGAGCATGCAAGCAATCCATGCTTTTCGACCGTTTTCCAACACCGAGGCCAAAGGTAAATAAATAAAAAATAAAAAATAAAATCGAAACGTTGGGAGGAGAATAATGTGGGCAGGTGGAGAAAGCGACACGTGGAAGACAGATGTTAAAAGGTGTGATTTTAATATGAAATATTTTATTCATTGAATAACGAATTTATCATTTTCCCGACGAAAGGGAATGGGCGAGTGGATCCCACGCGTCGGTGTCCTGCGAGGGAGAGACAAAAAGCTTCTTAGAGTTTAGGGCACGAAAACACACCCTTGTCTATGGAATTTATTTATTTTTTACATTTTTTTTCTTTTAAAATGAAATTAATAGTAAAACGATATTATTTTCGGAATTATTATTACTGTTTTACAGTATTTAAAAAAAAAGAATTGTGCATTTCAACCAGTCTACTACATAATGATAATTCACCAACAGATGATTTCTGATTTTGGGGTGTCAGATACTACTAGAAATTATCAAAATGGGGTAAATCTGCAAATCTGACAAAAAGGCAGGGAGGAAAACCAAAAATACAAAATAATAAAAAAAAACCGACAATTTTTAATTATTATGGGAAAGAAAGCCATAACCTTTATTCCACATTCCGTCAAATAACACCTACGCAGGTCCTCGTGGGCTGCGGTGGAGGCTCTTTGCTTCATCTCATATTTGATTATTGTTCTCTTTTTTTTTTATTAAAAAAAACCATGTTTAAACATTATATAAATTTATCCAACAGTTTGTGGACGAATGGTTAGCAGACGGATGTAAAACACTTTAGAGGTTGGCGGTTCGATTCCTGGTTGGGGAGATGTTTTCACATGGATTGTCCCGGTACTCTGGGAGATGTAGTTGGGCCAAAGGCCCGGTGAAACTTACAGATTATCAAAAAAAAAAAAGTTATATAAATTTCAAGCTTTTAACTCTTACCGCTTTCTACAAATGAAGGGAATATGTTTGGTGATGGATTGATCAGCGTTAGGTGGGATTAAAGGTAAATTCCAATGGTATTTTATCCAATAAAATGGAATTACGGTAAAGATGTGAAGTTAGTTGATGGTAAATTCCCAAATCTGTGATCCACATGCATGCAGACGTACAAAGCGATGTCCCTTTCAGATATGGGAATGGCGAAATCTTCAATTATATTGTTTTCCATCTAAATCAATCATTGGCTTTAATCTCTCAATTTTTACCAAATATATAATCAGTTGTTGGCAATTATTTCTCTCCGTTTATTTTAGATTACGATTTTAGAATTATATTTTTATTTCAAATAAATAATATTTGAATTTTTTTTTATGTAATTTTAATGTTTTTTTTAAATTGTTTCTAATTAATAATAAGTATTTCTAGAGATATAATGGAAATTTGACATATAAAGAGACAAATACTACAGTTGTAAACAGAGAGAAGAATCTGTTCATCTTCTTCTTCTTCTTCTTCCCTCTTTTCCCCATCCCATCATTCACTCTCTCTCTCTCTCACTGTACTTCCATTTTATGTGCGTGTTCTTCGCCATTGATGGTGTGAAACGTAATCGCTATGGGGAAAGATAGAGATCAACACTCCAAAGACAAGAAGCTCCTCGTCGGAGTCATTTGGAACTTCTCCGCCGAGCTCAAGCTCACGTTCATGGCGTTGCTCGTTCTCTGCACCTTAGCCACTCTCCTCCCTTTTTTCCCTTCCTCGTTCTCCATCTCCGCCTCCGATCTCCGCTTCTGCATCTCCCGCATCTCCGCCGTCTCCCCCGTCAACTCCACCGCCGGCGACGGTGACACTCCTCCTCCTCCGCCTGACGCGGCGACGGAATCAGTGATGGGTAACGGCGTTATTAAACGGTCCTTCTCCGGCTTCGGCTGGGCGGCGTATAACTTCGTCTCCATGAGCGCTTACAGAGGCGGCGTTAACAGCTTCGCCGTTATCGGCCTGTCCTAGAAAAGTGTTTGATCAGATGCCAGTCAGAAATGTGATAACCTGGAATGTGATCATAATGGCTTATGGGATGCATGGAAATGGAAGGGAAGCCTTAGACCTGTTCAGGAAAATGGTTCCGGAAGTAAAACCAAACGAAATTACATTCATCTCTGTATTTGCAGCTTGTAGCCACTCGGGCATGGTGGATGAAGGATTAAGGATATTCCGCAACATGAAAAAGACCCGGGAACGGATTCGGGGCGACGGATCCAAGATCCTACCTGATTGGGGGTACGGTCGCGTCTACACCGCCGTCGTCGTCAACTGCACTTTCCCGTCGGTCTCCGCCGTTAACGCCGACAACTCCGGCGGGTCCCTCCTCCTCCACGCGACAACCGGCGACGCAGATCGGAACGTCACCGACACGATCCGTGTCTTGTCGGAGAATCCAAACGCCGTCGATTTCGAGCTCTACGACTCGACGGGGGGCCGCCGTCGTCCCGAGTACGATTACCTCTACTGCGGCTCGTCCCTGTACGGAAACCTAAGCCCGCAGCGCGTGAGGGAGTGGATCGCGTACCACGCGCGGCTCTTCGGCGAGAGGTCACACTTCGTGCTCCACGACGCGGGTGGGGTCCACGAGGAGGTGCTGGAGGTGCTGCGGCCATGGATGGAGCTCGGACGCGTGACTTTGCACGACATCCGGGACCAGGAGCGGTTCGACGGGTATTACCATAACCAGTTCATGGTGGTGAATGATTGCTTGCACAGGTACAGATTCATGACGAAGTGGATGTTCTTCTTCGACGTGGACGAGTTCATCTACGTGCCGCCTAAGAACACTATCGCATCTGTGATGGAATCCATGGACGAGTATTCTCAGTTCACCATCGAGCAGATGCCGATGAGCAGCGAGCTCTGTTTCTCCGGCGACGGTCCGGCGAGAACTTACAGGTACTTGAAATGGGTTTACTTCTGTGTTTCCATTTCATCAAAGTTTCAATTCTCTGATGAATCCTCGTCGTTAGATCAACGAGATTAACAGTGTTATAACGGTTGATTTTTGGTGATTTAGAACTGAGAGTGACTGTACAGAGAAGAACTGATGGTGAGAAATCATTGGTTAGATTGTCTTGTTGTCGGTTGAATTATTGAACCTCTCACCCACCAAATCATGAATTTTGCTTGGCTTTGGAATAACATAGAATCCGGTTTCATCTGATTCAATCTTCACGTTTTATGTTAACAGAGTCAGATTCTTGAATTCGCTTTCTTTACAATTTTCCTTTTTGTGTGGGTGAGAAAATGCTTCAAAGTTTCAAGCTTTTTGATACCCACATAGGCGTATGACCAAATTCACATTCTGATTATAATATATGCTTTAACAATGCCCTTAGCTTAAGATTGATTAAACCTTAGAGTGGTCATATGACCAGTATCACATTCTAATTGTAATTTATATTAACATATGCTTCAATGCCTTAGCTTAAGAGTTATGACTGTCTATTGTTGAGTGATCATCATCTCATATTCAAAGTTTCCAACTTTTTGGTACTCACAAAGGGAAATAACCAAAATCACATTCTATGATAATATATGCTTTAATACCTCAGCTTAAGATTGATTCAACTGAGAAAATTGAGATCTCTAACCGAGCGATTGTCCTCGTTTCAGGAAATGGGGATTCGAGAAACTAGCTTACCGGGACGTGAAGAAGGTCCCTCGAATGGACAGGAAATACGCCGTCCAACCCAGGAACGTGTTCGCGACCGGCGTCCACATGTCGCAGAATCTGCAGGGGAGAACTTACCACAAGGCCGAGGGGAAGATCCGATACTTCCATTACCACGGATCCATCTCTCAGCGCCGAGAGCCTTGCCGTCACCTCTTCAACGACACACGGATCGTCTTCCGGGGCAATCCGTACGTACTGGACACTACCCTTCGGGACGTGGGCCTCTCGGTCAAGACGTTCGAGCTGAGGACGATCGGCGACCGGCTTCTCCGTACGCGGCAATGAATAAAACTGGCGAAGAGTTGTCACTGGGTTTAGTGGGATAGGCACATGTCTTTGCTCTTTTCCTGATCTTTTTTTTGCTTTAATTTTTGGATGTATTATATATATATATATATATATATATGTATGGGTTCATAGGTACAGCTCATACTCGTTGTATGTAATAATCATATCTTTTTATGAGTTTTATTAATTTATTTATATATTATTTCTCGAGAGACCGATTTGGCTGTATAAATTACAGTGAATAATGGTGGAGAATCTATAGATCGATGATACTATCTGATTATAAATTTTATAAACAATAGTCCCATATTGTTTTTAGAATTTTTTCCGATTTAAAAAAAACATAAAAAAACATATATACTGAAGTTATTAGATCTTTAATATTATATTGAAGTTAAATATTTTTAATTAATAAAAATACTCTCCAAAGGATATCTATTGAGAAACGGAGGGGGGGAGTAATATTTTTCTTTTTGTTTTTTGTTTTTTGGTCGGATATTTGAAAGAAGGAAATTGTTTTTTTTTTAATTAACGGACTCGCCTAAAGATTGAAAAAATAAGTAGCACGTTTTAGATTATATTTTGAAAATATTGACCGTGTAAATTAAATTTATTGAATTTAAATAAAAAAAGATATTATAAATGAGATTACGCCTTGTCGTTGATTAAAGAAGACGACAAAATTTTTCATTGTCTCTAATCAAGAAAATGGGACCCATGTTGTTTAGTGGTTAGTAAATTTCACAACGGAAATATATTATATTTAATTTTAAAATTAATAAAAAAATTATGTAAAACCGTAAATATTTAGTCCGCGCGATTCGCGCGGGTTATTACCTAGTAAAGATAAAAAAAAAAGGTGGTCCAAACAAAGTGATGCGAATATTTTTTTTTTCTCTAATCAAAAACCAAATTGAGATGATGGATCATTGTCTTTTTCCAATAATTCATAACCCAACTTGTGAATTTATTTATTTTTTAAATGTTGAAATTGTTGTGAATAAATTGGGCCTTTGCAGCTGGATTATTCTCTGGTGACCTAATCGGCATTTAAAAAAAAGGGAAAATTAAATAAAATTTTATTGATTTAATTCGAAAGTTGTTACTACATGATAATATTCAGCCTCCACATTTAAAAAAGACAGAATATCATTATATTTTTCATATATTTGATTTGATTTTGGATCAATTGATTAGAGATATACCAATCCCACGTGAATGAAATTTAGAAATTGTTTAGAAATGATGCTGTTTGTATATATGTATGCACATACATACTCACTTTCCTCTCGCATATGTGCCTAATGTCTATAGCCTTACGGTACAAATGCTCTTTCTTATTGTTATTCGTTTATTAAAATATTATATTGGTTATAATTTTCTAAAAATGAATAACCATTGAAACAGAGTATAAAATACTCTTGAACTCAGACCGAATCTTCCCAAGGATAAAATTGTCATTTGCGTCGCGAGGATCGTTATATCGTTAAGTGAAGGGTAGTCTGGTAATTTTCTAACCGGTACAGAAGAACGAAGAAGAGTATACATTTACATAATTCCGGAAAGTAGTTATTCATTTTCATTACATGTAATTCCAATGTATTATAGACAAATTAAACTGCATTATTATTCAGATTAACAGATAAAAATAAGTAAATAATCTATTTTTGTGGATTAGTTGGAGTTAATCAGATTACGGATCACATACTGCAAGATACCTCCATGGTTGAAGTAAGCCAACTCCACCTCTGTATCGAACCTCAGAGTGCAGACAAAAGATTTTCCGTCGTCCGTTATAACCTTAACGTCTTGCCCGGGTTTGATCTCGTTGATTTCGTTAGGCAGCTCGACGTTATACTGCTCGAAACCCGTCAATCCGAGCGTCTCGGCATCTTCCCCGACCTTGAAACAGAGTGGAACGATCCCCATTCCCACGAGATTGCTTCTGTGAATCCGCTCGAAGCTCTTCGCTATCACTGCTTTCACCCCGAGAAGCTTCGGACCCTTTGCCGCCCAGTCCCGAGAGCTTCCGCTTCCATACTCGGAACCCGCCAGGATGATTGTGTCTTGTCCCTCACTCTTGTATTTCGTCGCGGCGTCGAAGACAGAGAGCTTCTGTCCGGTCGGGATGTGGATGGTTTCGGGCCCGACTTCTCCTCGCAAGAGCTTGTTGACGAGGCGGATGTTTGCGAATGTACCTCTCGCCATAACCTCGTCGTTTCCACGACGACTTCCGTAAGAGTTGAAGTCTCTTCTTCCGACTCCTCGTTCGATCAAGAACTTCGCTGCGGGACTGTCCTTGTGAATGCTACCGGCCGGTGAAATGTGATCTGTCGTGATGCTGTCTCCGAGATTGAGCAGACAGTAAGCGTTTTTCACGCTTCGAGGACCGGGAGGAGACATCGTCATGTCCTTGAAATAAGGTGGCTCGTGAATGTAAGTCGATTTCGAATCCCAATCGTAGAGAGCGCCCGTCGGAACAGACAACTGGTTCCACATCGGGTTCCCTTTGGTGATCCCTTCGTATGTAGCTTTGAACATATCGGGAAGAACGCTCGCTTCCACAGCCTCAGCCACTTCTTTGTTAGACGGCCAGATGTCTCGGAAGAAAACCTGCTTGCCGTCTTTCCCCGTTCCGATTGGCTCTTTCTCGAAATCGATATCAACCGTGCCAGCTAAGGCATAGGCTACAACGAGAGGAGGGGAAGCGAGATAGTTGGCTCTTGTTAAGGGGTGAACCCGTCCCTCGAAGTTCCTGTTCCCGGACAATACAGCGGCAGCAACCAAGTCGTTCTCGGCTATGGCCGAAGCCACGGACTCGTCGATATCGCCGGAATTCCCTATGCAAGTGGTGCAACCGTAAGCAACGATATGGAAGCCGAGCTGATTCAAGTATTTCTCCAACCCACTCTTCTGCAGATACTTGGCCACAACGCCTGAACCAGGAGCAAGACTGGTTTTGATCCATGGCTTGACCTCCAGACCCAGCTCGTAAGCCTTCTTGGCAACCAAGGCCGCACCCAGAACCACACTCGGGTTCGAGGTATTGGTGCAACTAGTGATCGCTGCTATAACAACAGCTCCATGTCTGAGCTGAGCTCTAGTCCCCCGAAAGACAAAATTTACGACCTTGTTCTGCGCTTCTTTCGGTATGGCGAATCCCTTGAATCCGAGCCTATTGTTCAGGCAAGTGCCCCAGTCGGCTTTCATATCCCTGAGAGGAACACGATCGTGCGGCCTCTTTGGCCCGGAAATGCAGGGCTCGACGTCCTCGAGCTTCAATTCCAGTGAACAGGAGTAAACGATCTCGTCCCGAGGCTCATTGTAATCGACAAACATCATATTAGCGCGGAGATAATGCTCTATCATTGAGACAGTGTCGTCACTTCTTCCCGTCAGCTTAAGATACTTCAAAGCGACATGGTCCACAGGAAAGAACCCCATGGTTGCACCATACTCAGGACACATGTTGGCGATGGTGGCACGGTCGGCTAGAGACAGTTCCCTCATCCCTTCGCCATAGAACTCGACAAACTTTCCGACCACTCCATGTTTCCTTAACATCTGAGTCACTGTCAGGACCAAATCGGTAGCCGTCACTCCATCTCTTAATCTCCCTGTTAGTTCGAAACCGACGACACCAGGTAGAACCATGCTCATGACCTGTCCAAGCATGGCGGCTTCAGCCTCTATACCGCCAACTCCCCAGCCAGCGACACCCAACCCGTCGATCATAGTGGTGTGAGAATCCGTTCCCACAACGCTGTCCGGGTAGAGAACTCCATCCGTGGTGTTCAAGACGACGACTTTGGCAAGATATTCGAGGTTGATCTGGTGGAGAATCCCGGATCCAGGGGGTACGACAAACATGTTGTCGAATGCGTTAGAACCCCACTTGACGAAACCAAACCTTTCGCCATTTCGCTGGAACTCGAGCTCCATATTTGCCTGCACTGCCTTCTCTGATCCCGAGACGTTAACCTGAACCGAGTGGTCGACAACAAAGTGTACAGGTACCTGCGAGAGTATCAAGGATCAACAATCAAACCCTCGAATGCACACAAAAGAATCTAAATGAGATTCACACAATTCTCTCTCAGCATATGAGGGGAAAAAAAACAAACTGACCAGAGGATTAATCTTGCTAGAATCGCCCCCGAGTTTGTTCATGGCGTCTCTCATGCAAGCAAGATCAACAACAGCAGGAACACCAGTGTAATCATGGAGAAGAACTCTTGCGGGTTTGAACGGAATCTCAACCTGTTTGGGAGATGAATTCTCCCAATCAAGAATCTTCTCCACATCATTGCTCCTAACTTGGAACTCATCGCAGTTTCGTATAGCGGATTCGAGAAGAATCCTAATCGAATAAGGGAGTTTCTCTGCAATTCAAACCACAAGGCTTGTCTGAATCAAACACGAGATCTCGCAAAAAAAGAAAAAAAAAAAAATCATGCGACAGGACAACAATGTCTTCCCAAAACGAAATCTAGAGATTTATACTCACCGATTCTGGGATCGTTGAGGGAAGGGAGGCTGAAGAACTTGCCGTATTCGCCACCATCAGGTCTCTCGAGCGTCTTCAATATGCGGCGAAAAGGATTCTCGCAATCTGAAACGCATAAAAAAACAGAGACGGAAAGCAAAAAATTTTAAAAACAACGTCAGAGACAGAATCTGACCAAAGCCACAACCAGAAAAACTTGGAATCACAGATTCATTTCGATGGCGGAGAAAGCAATAAGAAAAGAGCAGGGGAATCACCCATGGATGATCGAGCTTGAGAAAATCAGCGAGCAAAAATCGGTTCGGAGAGAGAGAGGGAGAGTTGCGTTTGGCTTGTGTCTCCTACAAATCGATTCTCTTATTCGACTCGAATGGATTCCCGCGCCGCCATGCAAGGCATTTGATTTGAGCTTTTGCGCGTTGAAATCGTCGTTTTTACGCGATTAAAACGTTTTCCCAATTTATTTGTTTTTATTCTCTATTTTGCTCTTAAAATTTGGAATATTACCCCTAAAACACCAAACTTCCATCAATTCCATACAATATTATATACCTAAATGCTTATTTTAACCAAAAATATCAACACTCCAATGGAAACAAAAAAAAAAAAAACTAATATATCCAAACTAATAAAAATTATTAAAACAACTGATTTTTTTTTTCAAATTTAAAAAAATACAAAGGTATCAGCAAAATATAACCGCGTGTGTATACAAATGCATCATTTGCTCAAAAACATGAGAGACCTCTATATAGACTAGGATTCAAATTTGGTAATAGATCATCTGAATCTACCATTGGTAGAACCATCAGCTCTAGAACTCGAACATAATTTGCTCGAGGGTAACTTGAAGATGGATATATATAGTCCTGTTCTTGAAGGATGGCTCTCTTCTTTCTCATCATGAGACAAATCTCAGGTGTGTCATTTTGTGAGTTCTTGTCTTCAAATAGAATCAACCCTTGTCTGAAAACAGAAAGATTTGTGATGGGCGAAGGTCTATCGATCATATGATCCGACCATTTTTCACCGCCATCCCGAGCAGAGGCAAGAGGCATTTCCTGTCGGTTCATGATCACTATTACATCAACTGAACAGACAAATGTTTCGTTCAACCCAGAGAAAGCTTGTGCACCAAAAAAGGGTTTTCTCGACCGTCAAATTAATTTTCGAGGGAAAGAAAAGGAAAAAGTGAAGTCATGACTTACCTGCTTCTGCATCCGAGTCTATGAAAACATCAGTGTCGTGCTCTCAGGTTGGTTTCATCGGGTAGGAGTGCATCAACTATAACAAATTAGTCACTCCATGGTTTCTGCGGTTCTTGATGACATCCCATAAGCAGAGACCTGAAATAGCACTCAAGTATCCATACAGACCTTAGGGAAGGGAACATTGTTTCACTTCATGGAAAACTACGCTCTATTTGCAGGAGGATCACAAAACAAAGAATCTGAAGCATAAGGATTGAGGAAAAAAGAAGGAACGACACCCAACTCAGATCAAACATGAATCATCAAATTGTGCACTTTCAATCTCTTTACGTAACTCGCTTCGACGATTCAATCTGATGATCACGAACCAGGAGAACTAACCCTTCATATCAAAAACCTATTCAATTTTCGATACTTTTGCAAGATTTCGAGTTCACAACTACGGATTTACTCTATATCTCCACGGTTCTGCATCTCTATCCAATTTGGGCAAACAACAGAAGAGGGTAAGGACACGGCTGCTTCAATCGTAGGATTATGTAAGTTGATGAAACTTATATGTCTAATCATCTACAAGTTTACATACATGAACAGTGCCAAGCCTGGACTAGGGTTTAGGGTTTATCAGGGAAACAGAGTTGCAATAGAGAAATCTTTCTCAGAACCGATCAAAGAATCGAGATTCGACTCAATCACCCCATCGAACAGTGATTGTGAAAGGTCTCGAGATTGAGAAAATCACAGAAAGGGCAAAGAATAAGATTCAAATCCCTACCAGCTAAATTACTAAATCAAACAGAAACCCGTTTGATTTCCCGACCGAAATCGAAGCCCAGGTGTGAAATTGCTCGCCAAAACCAGAAACCGATTGAGAAATAAGAGAAATCGAAACCCTAGATGGAACAAATCAAAAGCTAAAGGGAATCGATAACTTACCTGTGCGAGCGAAGAGAAAGCTGAATTCGAGTTCGCATGAAGACAAAAAATATTACCATTATTCCGAACTATTTTAAAATTCTGTTTAAAAACATGGAAATAAAAATCCGCATATTTACAAAATAATTTGTAAGAACAACGGAAATGATTTTGCTTCTTTCTAGTGGGCCAAAGCATTGTGTTTCGGTGAGCTCACCATGGACCACCCATTCATAATCTCATAAACTACAATTACATTTGTAATGAAATAATAATAATAATAAAAATCAACCAAACCCTAGGAGGAAGACAGAACATGCCACACCAAATCCCATTTCTTTTTAATAATTTAAAATTTTATCGGGGACATTTATATCTCTTAAAAGATAAGAAATCTATATGAATAGACATCTTTTTCTTTTTTTACCAATTGAACCATCTGATTTTGAATCATCAAATCTCTTCCTTATGTTTGAAGTTATATGTGTTTGGAGTATTTTATTTTTTTCTTTTGTAAATGGTTATGCTCATTTTTTTTAATTTATTATCAGAAAAAAAAGAGTAACATAGATTTGAAGTTGCTTTAGCCAACAATAAAATAAAAACATAGGACCATAAATAAATAAAAAGTAAAAGATGAATCGTATTAAAGAGAGGGTCAGATCCCACCATGCTCTAAAATCAAACATTCAACTATATTTGTTTTTTTTCCATATCAATTATTAACTTTAGCAAACGAATGGCACATCTTTGAAAACTCTTATATGGAAATATTAATTATAGGACAAAAAATTATCATTTACTAGTTTAGTTTTATGGTACATCTAAAATTAATATTAAATTATATATATATATATATATTTAAGTGGTCAAGATTATGATAAAAATATATAATATCAATACATCAATATTGTTAACATAGATCCGATTATTAATATATATAACCTTAACTTTCTTTTCATATTTACTAAATTCATTCACTCTAGTAATGAAAATTTATTACCAACATTCTTCTAGGTAATAGAATCCTTGATACTGACGTTATTAATTTTCTTCAAAGGCAAGAGAAAAAAAAAAGATAGCACAATTACCGAAGATTCTACGTACTTATATTAGATCGTGCATGGCCACTTCCATATTCAATTTAAATAAATATAATAACACATGAAATGTCAAAATGACAATATATATATATATATATATAAAGATATAATATGCAGTTATTATAATAATAACATGCCATGCATGACTGTTTTTCACAAACGATAACCAAAATTAGGGCTGGTTATTTAAACCCGTTATCTGCGGGTTTGCGGATATCCGATCTCGTGAGTACTCGAAAAATGGATATTCGATATTCAATGAAAACGAAAACGATTATTAAAATTCAAAAAACCCGCATGATGGATATGAATTTGGGTTTCAAAGATTTAGAGAACGGATATCCACGGATACCCATATATATATATATATATATATATATATAAAAAGACGAAATTATCCTTATATTTCTAAACTATTTACCAAAATATCTAAGAATTTATAATGTTTTTATTACATCATAATCCTTTTAACTTTAAAATCATTTTATATATTTGAAAACTTTCTAAACATTTATGTATATTTTAATATTTTAAAAAATTTCAAATTTTAAATGTCTTTTTAAATCAAAATATATGATTTTGTTGAATATTTGTTTAATTTTAAATTGAAAAATATTATATACACGGGTACGGATATTCGAGGACACCCGTCATTTAGTCGTAAGTATTCGTCTAACGGGTACCAGATGTTTTTTTTAAAACCTCCGAAAACAAAAACAAAGACGGATATTAATAACGATAGTTAATGATTTTCAATTTCTTGATCTCCAGGTAGAACTGAATTGAAATCATATATGACATGGTTTCAATTCATGTCACATCTTGCAATTATATATATATATATATGTATATATATATATATATATATATATATACGTTCTCCAGTCAGTCACGACAAAACATAAATCAATCAAAATAAAGGATTACAAAAAAAAAGAGCCAAAGAGGCACCAATCTTTATGAATATATAGGGCTTGAATGGAATATGTTTTTGAGGTTTTGGAATCTAAAAAAATGATAATCAAGACTTTGTATATTAAATTTTTTGAAAAACTAAATGATTTTGGATTTACAAATAATAAAAAACCAAAAATGAAAAAATAAAAACAAAAAATTCAAAATAAAAACTAATATCATTCATAACCTTTATATATATATATATATTAAAAAAAGAAGGGAAAAAAAAGAAGAGAAAGAGCGCCGATGGGGCTACTCATCTTTTAACGAAAGTATATATATTGCTTTTGCTTTTGCAAAAGCAAAGA